AAGTTTTAACAGTTAGGCCAAAATAGCCAAACTAAAATATCTGAGTTCATTATTTTTTCAGTTTGCCTGTTTTGTTCTTAAATTGGAATTAAATGAATTCAATTAAATTAATTGTTGGCATTTCTCAGTTTAGTAACCAGTACCCTGTAAATGTGAATTTTTGATTAGCCTCCTCCATGCCTCCTCCGACCTCATTAGGAGACCAAAAGTGCCTCTAGTGGCGGACTGATTGATAATCACTAGTGGCAGTCTTAGTCCTGCAAGGTAATTATTGCAGTTTCTCTAAAACTGCAATGATTTACATTCAGGACTAAGTGGGGAAAGGGACAGTGCACCCTGACCACTTCAATTAGCTAAAGTGTTTTGGGTGCCTGTAGTGTCTTTTACATGCTTTTTAAATATTTTTGTGATACATAAGAGACCCCAGCAAGCCGTTTCCTCTGTGCTGCTTAAGCTAAATAGGAAAAATTAGCTTGAGCAGCAAAATGCAGCTATGATTGACTGAGAGCGTCAGCTGACTGTTTTCAGCCTATCACAGCAACCATTGCTGGTATGAATTGGTATGGCTAGAAGGAAGTGTTTAAATTCTGCCTTAGCTATACCTCCAGAAGGGGTCAGGTTGTGGGTGGCCATTCCTCTTCAAGCAGTTTAACATGCAGTGTTAAACTGCTTGAAGATTATTTAACACTGAGTGGCGGAACAATGCCAGAGTATTCCAGATACAGGACCAGAGTAAGAGCCCATTGGGCCTGGTGCTGACAATTATGATGGACCTAATTACAAAATCGTATAGACAGAAAACACTAAAACAGTTACAGTTCCTAAGTGTCATGTATCTTGTGGGCTTTTTGCTCAAGGAAAACTCACAGGATATAGCTATCAGAAAACACATACCCTATGCTAACATCTTGCTTTCATCTTTCAAGTAAATTTATACCCCCTAACAGCAGTGTCCAGTGAAGCAGAATGTCAGCGGGTGGGTTAAAAGGGTGTGCCACTGATGCGAGTCATGTAACCAGAACCACCAAAAGGGACAAACATGCCCCAAAAGGGAACATGTCTGCCTGAAAAATTAGGTCAGCCTAGTGTAAATGCATGACAGACTGCCTGCCAATCATGCATGCTGGTCACCAAATGCCATACCATGCAGACAGCACCCCGAGCTTGGAATAAAATGCATCAAATGATGCACTCGCTCCATGCTTTCTAAGAAATGTCCCCTAGCACTCACTTGTCCATTCCTCTCCTTAACTTCTTACTAGCAGCCAGAAACTTTTGTTATACAGTCTGGGACAGAGAAAAGGTATATGTAGTGAGTGTAGAAGAAAGGGAACATGCCACAGTGTTAGAGAGACTGAAGCAGCAAGAGTATTCGCATAGTGCGCAAAGTCAGCATTACCTTAAAGTGACACTATCTATGTCACCAGAAAAACTAAAGCTTATTGTATTTGTTCTAGGGAGTAGAATCATTACCTTCAGGCTTTTTTTCTGTAAAAGCTGTCTTTTCAGAGAAAATGCAGTGTTTACATTACAGCCTAGTGGTACCTCCACTGGCCACTCTTAAGATGGCTGCTAAAGAGTAAGGAACACTGCCATTCAGTGTCTCCACCCTCTGCATGCAGACACTGAACGTTCCTCATAGAGCTGCATTGATCTAATTTGTCTCTATGAGGAGATGCTATTTGGCCAGGGCTGTATTTGACATGTGATGGCTCTGCCCCTTATCTGCCTCCTTGACAGTCTCAGCCAATCCCCTGGGGAAGCATTGTGATTAGCTCAGACCACAACTTCTGATGATGTCAGCAGACAGAGGCAGTTCAGGAGCAGAGACAGCAGCTTCATACTTGAATACAAATAAGATTTTACTATATATAGGGAGGCAAGAGGGGCAAGGGATCTAGATTGTGGTTTTAACACTATAGGGCATGGGTCCTCAAACTCCGGCCCCCCAGATGTTGCTGAACTACAACTCCCATGATTCTCTGGCTATCTATGTAATTCAAAGAATCATGGTTGTAGTTCAGCAACATCTGGGGGGCCGGAGTATGAGGACCCATGCTATAGGGTCAGGAATACATTTTTGTGTTCCTGGCCCTATAGTGTTCTTTTAACTAATTTCATTGTCAGCCAGTCCACACAAGTTTTGTTTCCCTACATCCCTCTTAAGTTTTTGTACTTAAGCTAGAGCATGTGAAGAGTAGTGAAACATAAATTAAATATTTTTTAACAACAGGCCTATTCCATGGGCATGGGTCTGGAGCTGCAGCTCCATCAGCCCCCCTGTCCAGATTCTGTGACCAATTAAAAAGATTATAGTGCCTACGCTCACCAAATATTGGGACATACGTGATATATGTCCTGGAAAGCCTGGGGTTTATTCACTTAACTCTGAAATGTGGTATATTGGAATTCAAATTGGGATAATTATACTTAGTAGAATTTAGTGAAAAAAATTAAAAGACCACTGAAGGCACCTAGACCATTTCATCTTAATAAAGTAATCTGGGTGCATTGGTCAAAAACATTGCTGTTTAGTAGATCTGGCAAAGTCATGACTGACGGGTTAACACATATCGAGTGGCTGTCTTCCTCTGTGAAAACCAAGTCGAACTTGGTTCTCAATCAAATCCTGCTCTTAGAGAGCAGTGAGGGAGGGGGGTTCTGAATAGTTAGTAGGGCACTATAGCGTTACGAATACATGTGTGCAATCCTAATGCTATAGTGTTTCTTTACAGTGAATTTGGTAATGCTGTGCTTAAACCTAGTGAAAATACTTCTTTTTTTGTTTCAAGCATTTTTTTCACTAACTCTTACTAAACCTCTAATTCTAATATTTTTCAACTAGGATATTTTAGTATATTTTATCCGTCAATATCACAAAATAAACTATTTAGTGAATAACACCACAAGTATCTCTCACTAAATCTCTCCCTCAAGTGTTGCTACTCCCGTGTCTGTCTCCCTCCAAGTCAATGGCGCTACCATCCACTCTACCTCTAAGGCTTGCTGCCTACGTGTTCTCTTTGACGCCAACCTCTCCTTCACCCCTCATGTCTAGTCAATCACCAAATCCTGCCGCTTCCATCTCAAAAACATTGTGCGCATCCGACCCTGTTTAACGCTTGATATGGCAAAGATGCTTGTTAAGGCTGCTGTCCGCTCTCGCCTTGACTACTGTTATCCACTTCTCAGTGGTCTTAGGTGTTCTAAATTTGCCCCGTTACAGTTTATAATGAATGCGGCAGTGAGGCTCATCTTCCTGTCCGCCCGCACCTCTCATGCCTCACCCCTCTGTCAGTCCCTACATTGGCTTCCTGTAAGATATAGGACTCAATTTAATATCCTGATATTTACTTACAAATCTCTACACAATTCTGCTTCCACCTATTATCCTCACTAATGCACAAACATGTCCCATCTAGGCCGCTATGCTCTGCCGGAGACCTACTCCTACCTCTGATGCTCGCCTTAAAGACTTCTTTAGGGCTGCACTGTTAGTATGGATCTCTATGTTTTAATTTTTTTTAAATTAACTTTGGTTTACATGGTAGAACTAAAGGTTACCTGTGAAATTTAGTCTCTTAAAGCCAAAACAAAATACTCTCAGACCTAGAGGTGTGTTCGTAATATATTTGCTGAACATGCACAAACACAGCTGTTTGGGGATTTGTGGTAAGAATTTGCACAGTTTTGTTTTCCATATGTTAATATAAACAAAAGTCCCTAAACAGCTTTATGATTCTGAGATAACCCATAAACTTCAGAGCCTTATGCTGGTCCATACATAATGATTAAGGATTATTATTTCATGAGACCAGGATTCTTTATGCAGAATCTGCTTGCAGACATACTTCTTCCACCTGTCTCATTATGAAAAAAAAAACATGTTTACTATTGGTATAAGAAAGCCAGAATCCTGCATAATGCATTCTACTGTGGATTCTCATTTTAAAGAGGAACTGTCATGTATATGATTAAAGGAATGCTCCAGACACTCACATATATTAGGAGATATGCACAGGTTAGATTACAATTAGTTATACTGGATGGATTTTCTTTTTAATAATGTTCTTACGTTTTTTGGCTGACTCAGTTCCTTGTCTTGTATTTTCTTTAGAAAACAGTACATTTTAATTCCTTAAGAATTTGCAGGCAAAATGTTTTTTTTTTTTTATGCAGTCAAAATGTGTGGTTAATTAAAGGGACACTCCACTTACCAAAAACAAAATAAATAAAAAAATCTCTGTTTAGTTGATATACCCCAAATTAAAATCTGCATATATTTAATTGTGCATTTTTCATTGGAGTTATATCTAAAAAGGCTTGCAAAAACTGCAGTTCTCTTGTCTGCTGCTTTTGCAAGCCCTCCTCTTCTAACCCCGCCCAGACTTTCTGCAGCTCAATCAGAAGTCTTTGCAATGCAGGTGATCTGGGCAATTTCAGCCTCTTAAATTCAGTGCACATAAACTAACCAAACTAGGAAGTAACAATACCTGTTGTCTGCTAGAAAAGCCAGGGGGTGTAACCAGTATAATGTATTAAAAAATGTCTGCACTTTCTCCAAAATGAAAAAAAGAGGACACACAATTCACACATAAAGCTTTTCAGGAAGCAAAATTGCTTTTGGGGTCTGTAGAAATTACTGGAAATTGCAGAACAGAATAAAATATTGAAATACACCTCTAATTTAGACCACTTTTTACAATAGGACACTTTGAGAAATAACCCTCTTTGTTTAATCTCTCCTCTTATTTGTATACTCTGTATATTCAGTTTGTCAAGTACAAATGACAGACAATGTAGATAAGAAGGTGGGCCGGTTGCTGGTTAACGAGGTGTGAATGTCTATATTAATTTTATTGTTCAAATTTTACAAATACATATTTCTTAACTATTGGAGATAAATATACACAATATTAAAATTAATTGTATAAATAGCTATCAGTTATATTCTGTGATAAAATGTGCTTTTTAATTATCCACATATACAGGTTTCATGAATAACCCTGTATTGCAAAATTCTAACACCTTCATATGTGTTGGCATCAAATCTGAATCCATGAATACGTGAAAGTAGAAGTATACAGTGTAACTGATGGGAAAGAATAATTAACTACCTTGGTACAGCAATGCTATATCTGTCCTCAGCATAACCATCTTTCTAAGTCAGTGTTAATTAGTGATACTTCACATTTCAAGTAGCTTTCTCATTAACAATATATTTAGAGAGTTCTTCAGAAGTCCAGTGCCAATCAATCAATAAAAGTCCACAAGCAGATAACCAAACCCTTGACTATGTAATCGATTAATGGAAACAAAGCAGACAGCAACTACAAAAGAAACAGAAGCTCTGAAAGTTGACCTTTCATGCAAGGTGATGTGGTCTTGTACAGATGCTCGAGTCCTTACTGCATCAGCATGTCTTCATGGAGACATCATAGATATGTAAACTGCAATCTTCAACACAAATTTAATCTATACATTTGTTAAAACTTATTTCGTGAAAAGTAGAGGGTAAATATATCATTGTTGCCTACAAAAAGCAAAAACAAATAAAAAAAACTAACTACCACATTTTATGCTATTAGTGTCCGGAGGTGGGTTAACATTAAGACTAGCTGGCATCTTATCTACAGCTAAAAACAGATAATGGACAACCTATTCATAGTATGTTCTGTGGCTCAACCCCACTCAGCCTTTGACAATGCTAAGCTCATTAGTTCAACTTGAACATGATCTTAAACTATTTTATCTCAGACTGGTCACACCTTCAGGGATTGGCAGTCTAGAACCAAAAGAACTTGCAGGTCCACTTGCACAAGAAACTTAGTAACTCATCAAAAATTGTATATGACAGATAAATGTTATATGACAGATAAATCCATATACACTTAAAGAGATCTTAAGAAAATGCTGTTCTTAATGGAGAATAGAGGAGATAGATTGAGAACACCCACAACCTTACCCCGTGTGAAGTTCCTACTCAGGAGATCACATCCAAAGTTTAGGTCACTTTTCCCATCACAAAGGTAACCTATATCAGTTATATATCAGACTGATTCTGTCCACATAGATGGTCAATTAATAAATAAGATATTCCTTTAGCACAAGAGGTACAATAATTACAGATGATAACTGAGGAATCTCATAAGTCTCACCCCTAGGACCAGTGAGCAAAGGATTCAAATTTGGATTACCTTTTTAAGACTTAGACCGTAAAAATGTTCAAACAAGCTGGTAAAACAGAGCCCAAGAGACACGCTGAGAAGAAAAAATAGACCAAAAAAAGTATTTGTTTTATATTAAGCTCCTTCTCAAAAAGCCATTACTGCATATGTAAATATGGCTCAGGTAAGTATGATCATCACTTGGCTACCTATAACCTAATCCTACTTCTGTGAATGGAGCAAATATTAATAAATAAGGAAAGTCACACATCAAATTAATTCCATTGAGCAAGTCATTCGTTTAGTTGTCCATATTGGAACTCCGGATTTACATAATTTAGATGACTCACTTTTCGGTCTAAAGTTGGATGAATCGCAGTTAGTTTGGAAACTAATTCACAAGTTTAATATGATGTCTTAAACTGAAACTTTAAGCAAAGTCTCATCGAAATTTAGAGTGATTATAGCTCTACAGCGATATGTTAATATCATATGTTAATTTATTAATAAATACATTTATATTAATATTATGGCATACATATTTCTGAATGATAAATAATTCCAATTATCCATGGGATGGACATCTTACGATACACGCACACAGTCTGATGTTTTTCGAATAATATCAATGAATATTTTCTTACATCTGATGGTGGATGCCGGCAATATAATAACATTTCAAACGTGACATTCTTCTTTGGCTCAATATGTTAGCAAAAAAATAATGATAGACAGACATACGGGTTGTGATACTGCTCAGTATAATTTATGAAGCATGCTAATCCCTAGAAGCTTTGCTGCTGACATTTTCTAAATTGAAAAGGTTACCCCACATTGCCCAGACATACTTAACAACCAGAAGTCTGAATTGTCGGGCTTGGATAGGGCAAACAAAGTCTCCTAACTTAAAATGAGGAAATGTGACTGTGTATGAATATCTAGAGTGAGACTTGATGTAAATATGGAAAGTCTGCTTATAGTGATGGTAAGAGATGAAGAAAAAAAAGAGATATACAACAAAATAGATACGATATAGAGTTGATTAGTCGCGTAACTACATACCTAAGACAAAGTATTGTGTTTTGATTGAGCTGAAATTTCCATGAATTTCTCAAGCCATATATAAGCAGTTTATGTTTCACGTACATTTTGTGTTTAGGAAAAAAATAAAGCATTTAATTACCCTGTGTTTAAAGGGGCACTCAAAGTACTATAACCACTCCAGCTTATCTCTTATCAGATTTAAGTGCAGAATAGGTAAACTGGGAAAATAATCTTAAATCAGCTATACTTTCAGTTTGGCTACTCTGGCTTTAAATTTGAAATTCACTTTGCATTTAACCCCTTAACCCCTTACGGACACATGCTGAAAATATTCCGTCATGATTCCCTTGTATTTCTGAAGTTGTGTCCTTAATGGGTTAAGGACACGACTTCATAAATACAAGGGAATCATGACGGAATATTTCCAGCATGTGTCCTTAAGGGTTAATTTGGATTCTCACTTTAGTAAACAACCCTATGAGTGTTCAAGACACACTGAGAGTGCTTGGTTAACACAACCCGAGCACTCTCAGTTAATTCTTTCTTTTGGTCCATAGCTGTCCGACATAATGTAAAGTCCACCTTGCCATAAGCTAAATATCAGCAGAATGCCATGAGAAAAATCTATCTGGGGTGGATGCATTTGATTTATATTCAAATAAATAATGCCTTAACTAAAATACAATTTAGCAAATACACTTCTTAAAAAAGATACAAAAGTCCAGATATTAAGGAATGTCTGTAGGGCACCGAAACTACTTGTGTTTATAAGCCATTAACTTGCTTCACTTTCAAACCCATGGAGAATTATTTGTGAGCATCCTCGAGAATAATTCTTGCAAAGGTGCTGTCTGCAGTGTCTGTTCCCCGCTGTGACTATCTGCAGTGAATCCAGCTACAAAGACTTAGGGGTTAGAAGAACAGAAATAGTGGAAACAGGATTACAACAAGAGTTATATTGGAATGTAAAGTCCTGATCATATAGCCGCAGGACATTAATACACTTTCAGAAGAAATGGATTACTATTAAACACTTAGCTTCGAAAACTTCATGCGTTACCTTTCCATTATCCATGACATCTCTTATGTAAAGAAAAATATCACTAATGTTGAAGTATGACTGTAAATATAGGTCAATAGTTATCAAGGGCTGAGAAACAAATTCTAGTCAATTTTAGCTTTTGTAGTAAATAACAATAGTATTACAATCTTCCGTTTGACAAACTGGTCACAACACATTATACTTTGCTGACCCATACTTTTGTATTTTGTTTTATAAAAAAACGTGTTGACAATAAACTGGTCACAGTGCTCTGAGGAATGAGCAAATTTATAGATAAAAACAAAACTTTGCTAAGATTTACCTTCTAACACTATATTACACTATTACACTATATGCAAAATAACTCATTTATTTGGTTGGTGATATCCAGTAATAATAACACAATAGTTATATAATTTAACTATATTTTATTTTTTAATTGAAATCCATTTTCAGTGTGTATATCACTTTTTTTTTCCAGAAAATAGCTAATGCTACTAATTTTTCTTTCTGTAAAATCAATAATTGATGGTAAAAAAAGAGGATTGATGGCTAGGGGACAGTAACTAAATGCTGAACCTTTTCATATATCAAGTGAGAAGTGAACAATAGATGGGGAAAGGAGGAACAGTAAAAATGTATATTATATATTTATTAAATATATAATATATAAATACAGATTTTTCACTGCTCCTCTTTTACCCTCTATTGCTTTCTTTTTGCACTTAATCTGCACTTGATCTGTGAACTAAATGGCCGGAAAAGGCAAAACATGTACATAATATTATATTATGAATATATGTTCCAGTACATTGATTGGTCCATTTTTATGCTCTTGTGGTTCATTTCAGAATTAGGTTTTTGGTTCTGAAAATTCTGTTAAGCTAAATGTTCTATTTTCCGGAAAAAATGGTTCAGTCGAACCAAATTTCCTTGCTGTGCATAAGTTTAGTGGATACGTCTCTCTCTCTCTAAAATAATATTCTAATTAGTTATTTGGCCAACATCTGGAAGGCATCTTGTACATCTGTCATTAGGAAAATAGTTTCCCCTTTCTGATTGGCTGCTAGGTCAGTGGAGAGTCTTCTAAATCTGTCACTGCCATGAAGACCAAACAGCAGGGAAAGTTCTTATGGTTAAACGTACGCACATGAAAGAACGTACTTGAAAGACCTTTAACATGGGACCTCTGCACCTTGAGGATCCCTGGGAAAGTTATCTACTCTGCTTTATTATTATGGGACCTTGATTTTCTATAAAACAATGAAACACATATTGCATGAATTATAAAAAGTAATTTTAGAAGAATATTTAATTCAAGTCTAGTCATTGTCCCTTGTTTTTTTTTTATTACTCTCCAAGCATTTAGAATAGTGGGGAGTTTTATGCATTATGATTTTTGTTGTTTCTTTGTGATTTAATGAAACATAAAGTTGAACTACTCATCTACTCTTCCATTCAGTAATATTTGTTCCGACACATATTAAAGGGAAAGGTCACCAGACCATGTAGATACAATGAGTAAGTATAGTAGGAAGTTAATTGCCTTGTTCAGTATAAGGAAAGGTCGTATTAAAAATGAACTTCTATTCTTGTTCTCTTTCTTGGAAAGCACAGCAATAATTTTACAGGAGAAAACAATTGATAGACATTTGCTAATAGTGCTGGAAAGCCTTTGTTAAGTATGTTAAAGGCCTTTCAAGTATAAAATCATATGAATTAAAGGAACATTATATTGTAAGGTATACAAAGCTGTATTCCTAACACTATAGTGTCCCTCTGCCTCCTCTCCCTCCCCCTGTGGCAATCAAAAGGTTAGATCCCTTTAAATACGTACATGAGTCCAGCACTATAGTCCCTCTGCTCTGGTTCCTTCTCCCCCAAAGTCATCGTAATCAATAATGTTCCTATGGGGTTTTGCAAGATGCCGGATGTTCTAATGCAAAGAGGGACACCTAGTTTTGTTTCACAGATTTAAACTCCATGAAACAGCAGGAAGCAACTCTAGTGGCTGTTTAGTAGACAGCCACTAGAGGCAATCTTAGCCCTGTTGTTCTTAAACAGCAATGTTTTAAGCTGTAGGGTTAAGAGAACAGAGACAGTGCTCCCAGACCACCTAAATGAGATGAAGTGGCTTGGGTGCCTATAAAAAGCCATTCAATATCATAAAATGCACATGAAACTGGATTTATTCCAAACGCTGATAAATCGCCATTAAGCATTAATTACATTGCAGATTTGGAAATGGCTTATCTTAGAGTCAAAGCCAAATTTCTAATGGGGCCGTTGGAGTTGCAGTTCCAGGTTTATGTATAATGCTTATGTTTTGCCTTTAATGTGCATGGAGGTTGTTGCGTGTTTATATACCTAAAGCCTTATATGAGTCATTGCCATCACACAGAAGGAAGAGTACAACAGCTGGTTTGCTATGTGGCACATGTGGTCCATAACTGTTGAGATAATAGAAATATACATTTTCACCAAGCTCATCAAAGTGTTCAGCTCTAGGCCATGAAGTCTAAATCCAGCACTGAGTACACAAGGGAAACAAATTACTCCGGTTGGTTTCTGTGATATCTCTTATTGCTCAATTGATTTACATCCTGCAGCATATGCATTCTACAAACAAGTGGACAGCGATTTTATTTGTTGCTCACCACAATCAATAAGTCTTATGTATCAGGAAGACTTGTTGCAACCCTGAGCAAACCCATTTCACAGGATGGACAGCCCAGCACCTGGGGATCCATGATAGCTGTTTGCATGCTACAGATGTTGGGCAGGAAAACTCAAGAACTCAAGAGAAAACTCAGAGGCTCAGAGATATCATCTGACACTATTGCATTCCAATCCAGGACCAATGGAATTCCAATCCATGACCAAAGGAATTCCAATCCAGGACTAGTAGGAAAGCAATTTAAGTGGACAGCCACCGGGAGAAAAGGTGTATATCTTTAAATATATATGAAATTAAACAAACAATAGTTACACCCAATATAATCAGTATCATACACCAATCAGTGATTAATATACTTCCCTAAAGTATGATCCAGCAAGAATCTACAAAGTGATATAGAAATATATAGTGTGATCTGCATGTATAAATAGAGAAAACGCTTGATATGGGTAACACTCACAAGTGTAGAGCTGTCCAAGACTCGATATAGAAGATTTGAGGGTGCAAATTCTGGCTTAGGATGTGCACCAAGGATGGCTTTATGTGTTACAAAATGTATTGGAACATAGATGTATAAAATATCAAAATAGGACTTTAAAAAGCAGTGTGTAAAATAATAGCCAAAAATAGTATATACACTACAGCCAACACAATAAGTCCTCCAATAAAATGATGCAACAAATGCGTTTCGACTGATTTCAGTCCTCTTCAGGTGCCCTCTGAAGAAGACTGAAATGCATTTGCTGCATCATTTTATTGATACTAGTTATATTGGGTATAACTATTGTTTGTTTAATTTCATGCACCTTAAGGTGTTGGGATACAACTGAATTTATACATCTAATTAGTGGTTTTGGTTGACGAAGCGCCGATACACTTGCTGTTCCACAGCCTTTTTCTTTACATTTATATATATAATAGGAAAAATGCCAGCACTCTAAGATTCCATAAAAAATCTTCTTTACTTGAGAAAATCCATACTAGTCAACGTTTCAGTTCATGATAAGAACTTTCATCAGGACAACATGTTTTGGGGTTTTCTCAAGAAGAATCTTTATGGAACCCTAGAATGCTGGCATATGTTAATGGCATATTTTGTGTTGCTGAAGCACCAGGTATTTTAGTAGGAGTGCAAAGCTGCTAGGATTCTGTAATTACTATATATGAAGGGTTAAAGGACAGATGTGGCTTTCAGGTGGTATTTCTACACATATATACAGCTTTTTATAACTGATTTACCACCATCTAAAAATCAATTCTCTATTCTGGGAGAGTCTCGGGACAGAAACATACAAATCAGCTTTTTTAGTCATGAAAAATACATATCTCTGGGTAGATGGATCTACTCAGCCAGAGCATGCAGTATATAAATTGGACAGAGCTGGAGTAGCATGAGTAAGTTTTTATCAAGAGCTGTGCATGCCAAAGTGATGCCAGTTATTTTTCCTGCACATTCAACCAGGGCCCATGCAAGGATTTTTGGCTACACAGTCAAAGACAGGAGCTGTGGTGTGGGAGAGGGGACACAGGGACTGTGGTGAAGCGGGGCACAGGGGCTGAGAGAGGGGGCACAGGTGTGGTGGTGGGGGGCACATGCCCTGAGAGGGGGGACAGGAGCTGAGAGGGAGGTAGCGAGGGGGCAGGAGCTGGAGGGTGTGGGAGACAGGAACAGGAAAGGGGAGGACAGGAGCTGGAGGGGGGGCAGAGCTGGAGAGGGGGCACAGGAGCTGGAGAGAGCGGCTGTGGTAAGGAGGGGGCACAGGGGGTGAAAGCTTTAAAGGGTGATAAGAGCTGTGGATGGGACAGGGGCTGTGGTGGGTTGGACACGGGCTATAAAGGGGTAACAGGAACTTAGAGGGGGATACAATGGCTGTGGTGAGGGCACAGGGGCTGCTAAAAAAAAAATTAGATTTAAAAAAAAAAACAAAGATATCTCACTCCCCCCCTCCCTCAGGCTTACCTTGGGCCAGGGAGTGGTGAGACAGAAGCTGGAGCCTCCAGCACACAGCAGCCATTGAAGTTTGCCGGCCTCTCCTGATGATGCCAGGAAGAGGGGACGTGACTTCCACTGCTCCTCTCCCATCTGCTGGGGAGTCTGTGAGAAGAGCAGTGGTCGATGTCATGCCCCCTCCTCCTGACATCAACAGGAGAGGCCAGCAGATTTCTTTGGCTGCTCTGTGCTGGCTTCAGGGAGACAGGTAATTTGAAAAATCTGAGTCCCCAGCCAGGAGTAGGGGATTCGAAATTTTGCACCCCCCCCCTGTTCTGGTGCCCGAATGCGGCCACCTGTGCCACCTTATGGATGTGCAGGCCCTCCATCCAACATATCAACTCATCCCCTGCTATTGCAATCTGTCACTGAATAGTGTGAGGCTGCAGATAAAGAGACACTCCAGATCCCTAAAGTACTTTAGCTTGTTTAAAATCTTTTTGTGCGCAGAATGACTTCTTTTTTCATTTTGGAAAAAGTGTAGATTTTAATAGAAATTGACACTTTTATACATGATACAGGTTACAGCCCCCTGGCTTTCAAGCAAACAGCAGGTCCTGTTACTTCCTGGTGTGGTTTGCTTATTTGCACTGCACTTAAGAGGCAGCTATTGTCCAGAGCAGCTACCTCCCAAAGACTTCTGAGCTGCATTGGGAAGTCTGTGATTGGACAATCACATAATGTCTCAGCAGGGTTAGTAGGGGAGGGTTTGTAAAGGCTGCAGACAAGAGATCTGCAGTTTTTGCAAGCCTTTTTAGATAAAAATGAAAAATGTGAAGCTGAGGAATTCTCATAGTCTATTATAGATAGTATTATAGATAGATAGTATATTGGTATGACTATCACGTAACATACTCCATACATCATGTGGGATCATTTGCTGGACTTTTCTTTTCACAATGTGCTATAGCAATATCTATATATTCATTATTTTTTTTTATGTAGCCTAATGCAGGCATACTAACCCAACAAAACAAAAAATAAATCTCAATTTCATCTCAAGGATTATTTTTTCCAAGAGTCCCTCCAGACTAGAAATGACACATTTTATAATGTATTGTGTAGATAAAAAATAAATTATGTTGATTAAAATTATACAAAAACAAGTCCAAAATAATAAAAGAAAAAACACTCAGCTTCAAAAGTTTGTGCAAATTCTAACAAATTAAATCATCAAGTTTTGCATACAGCAGGAAGTAGCTAGGCCAATCAAGAGCTTCTTGTTCTGATCTGTGGAGTCAGAACTGTTTGACATGTTTAACACAGCACTGCAGGAGCTAAGAGGGGCTGCCCGCTATGTGTGGGGAATAGAAATCAAAGCTCTGTGCACATAATCAGTCGTAGTTTCTCCAAAAAAAACAAAATACAACTAAATATTTAGGCCAAGCGCTAAAAATGCAAATAATTATGTGTGTCCCTTTTGTATACAATTGTGAGATTTGATTGTTAACTAATCAAACAACAACATATTTTTGTAAACCAACCATATCATTTGAGCACGCAAATACAACTTAAAATGTGTTTGTAAAATGTAAGTGCATTTCTGCTTTAGCAGTCTGCGGATGTAATTCACTGCACTGGCTGTGTAGAAGCCACTACTGTATAACAGAAAGATCTAGAAAGTTCATTTGAGGATTCTACGGCATCTGATACCAAAAATAGCATCCCTGTGCATACTGCCTTACAGACGACATAAGACAAATTGTGTGTACTCATCCAGTTCATCATATGGAACTCAATTCTTAGATCAGTTGTTTTTTTTCCTAGCAAAATATTTGTTCTTAAAACCTAATGTGCAGTACCAGAATATACTAAATTCAGCTGAATTAGATTAAATGATTTGTTGGATTGATTGAATGCATTTCTACTCTAACTATTTAAGACCTGGCAGTGATTCGAATACCAGGTAGCAGTGAACAAATGACACCTTGTTTGCAAATTCAGTTTATAGATTAGCTTTAAATCATTGCCTCTTCGAGACATTTTTAATAACCATTACATTTGTGTTGAAAAAGCTGTTGTAGAATGACATAAATTAGGAAAATATATTTTGTTAAATACAATCATTTGATTAGATATATGGTTGTATGAGTGGGGGTATATGAGATTTCTAAAGAAGGTATATATAGATGTACTGTATTGACATATGAGTAAAATAATGAGAATTATAACAGTGATTAGATTGACATATTATGAGCACAATAATGAGAATTACAATAATGATTTGATTTCAACTTCCCGTCATTGCTGTAGAAAGCTAATATCAAAAAGTGTTTAGTGTCAGTGCATTAATGAAAAGTTCTTCAGTTGTTTCGTTGTCTCAAACGTTCTCCTCGGTTCTTGAAGGATAAAGTGTTTCCAGAGCAATAGAACTTTGCATTAACTAAGGTTGTAACCTCAATTTACTGCAGAAACAATCAATAAAAAATTAATTATTTTCTAAAGTGAGAATTTAAGGTGAATTCAATTCATAATAGCCAAACTACAAAAAAAAATGTTTTTAATGTCTTCCAATCCGGCTACTTTGGTCTTAAATTTGAAATTCGCTTTGAATTCACTCTGAATTCTCACTTAGTTAATAACCCAATGAGGTTATGCACTGTACTCCACTCTTAGTCAAAACTTAGATTGCGAACTTTAATCTACAAGAGTCAAGCTGTGACTATGAACAAGTCCGTGATTTTTTTCAAATTATCTCGATTGATGTTACAATGGCCACAAATATCAAAATACCCATAGATATATCATTTAGAAAGTCTATGGACTTCTGTGTCACAATTGTGCGTTCTAAGAAACCAATACATTAATGTTGATTTATCTATCCTGGGACATATAACCATTCATACGATAAATGTCTTCCCCTGAATTTTTTTTTTACCTCCTATCTACTGAACATCTACTGAACATCTACTGAACTACTGGACGCATTTTAAATGTATCCTTGACACCATATTAATAGGTTTTCAAAAAATGTTGTTCTCAAGAAATATCCAAAAAGCTAGGTGCAATTTATATCACCTGGGGACACCAAGTGGTTTAGAGATGTCATGTGTTAGGGTATACCACAATGTACCATATTGACACAACATATTAGCATTCTTTGCACTCCACTAACTATTGTCTATCATCGCTTGGTGGATAAGTCAAACTCTAGCTCCCCAACTCGAGATATAATCCTAAATACACTGTCACACTAAAGTCACCAAAATTGTTTATCGATGCCGACAGATCTGTAGCTCTTCTTTATATTTTCCTCCACAGGTCTTACATGTGTTTG